CCCCCAAAGGGGACCCCCCCGCCCCTCCCCCCCCGGGCGGCCCCCCTGCCCGCCCCCCCTCACCATCTCCTCGTGCCCGGGCCCTCGGGGCTGGCTGCCCCCGGGGGCGCGGGCCCGGGCTGGCCCTTCCCTCCGGCGTCTTCCTCTCGCTCGGCCCCTTCCCGCGCGCCGGGCGCCGCCGCCGGGCCCACAGGTAGAGCGCGCCGGCCCCGAGCAGCAGCGGCGCCCCCAGCGCCAGGGCCACCTGCCAGCGCGGCAGCCCCGAGCCGGAGCCGCCGCCACCTCCCCCCGCCGCAGCAGCGGCCTCCACGGGCTTCGAGGCGGCCATGATCCCCGCTCCGCTCGCAGCGCCAGCCGGGGGGAGGGTGGAGAGAGCAGAGAGAGGGGTCACCGGAAACCCGCGGCATGCCGGGAAGGGGTCAGGGGGAAGCACTTCCATGCGCCGCGCGGCCGGGTTCGCCGCAGACAAGGGGCGGCGGCGCCACCTGGCGACGGAGCGGGGTACGTGCAGTGCCAGCCCCTTCCCCCGGGCTCAGACACAGACGCGGCGGCGCCACCTGCTGGCGGAGAGGGGTAGGTGCAGTGGTTCCCCATTAGGAGTTCAGCGGGGAGAGCAGGGAACACTCTGCTTCTACTAGCATGAGTGCATCCCACAGGGGAAGGCGGATCCTCCCCACCCCAGTTAATGCACCAGGCCAGGGTGAGGGCACAGGCTGCTGGGCGTGGATGCTAATGCAGTGTGGCCAGCCCCAAGCATTCAACAGTCAGAGTCTGGCCCCCAAACTCAGGAGGTTTTCTTAAAAACAATTGGGTGCTGTGCTGGGTCCCATATATTTGCCTTCTGTCTTTTGAGACTTTAGGGTTTGCATTTTCAAGCTACTCTGCGCAGCCCTGAGCACTAGAAAATTACTGGATTGTTGTTGTTTTTAAATGAAAGCAGAGGTTCTCCTGAAATCACATGACTCAAGGAGCTGGGGCTTTCAGTCAAATCCCAAATATCACAAGATGTGTGATAAAATCACAAGAATTGGCAACCTTATGCAATGAGACTTCAGTTGTATTGGGATAGATCCTGAAAGGTGCTGAGCCATTCCCGTAGAGGATGGAAACTAACTTTTTTCTTAAATAAAAGCTGTGATTCTCCTGTATTTATATAACATTATATAACTCAGAGGTTCAGCCCTAATTTACGTTGCCGGTGTAAGGTCCATCAGGGACAAGACACCATTGAAGAATCAGATGTCTGAGAGCTCTACTCTGCCCTGCCCTCTCCCCAGCCCCAATTACAACCAGCTGTGCCACACCCCTCCTTCTTCTTATGGCTGGGCCATGGCTGACATAGGAGACCGTTCTGGCATCTCCACCAGCTTTACACTAGCAGAGAGTTCCCTAGCTCATGAGGGAATTCTCCACTGGCTTTGCCAGCCATTTTATGGCAACTTTGCACTGCTTACCTAGCACAAAGATGTTTTAGCAAACTGGAGAAGCTGGCTCTCCAGTTTGTGCTGAGAGAAATTGCTTACAAAAATTGTTCCTAGCTTTTCAGCAGCCCCTTCCTCAACTATTTCCTATCTCCAAACAACAGAAAGAGAAGGAAAATTAATCACTGCAGCTATTTTTTTGCATGGCACCTTCTGTGACATACTGTATGCCATGTTATCCCCTGTACCCACCTATTCAACACTGTTATATGATGATATGTTTTGTACAAAATATGCCTTGTGAGGTATCATTTGGAAAGTTATAATCTGTTGAGTGTTACTATCTTGTTGAAATGCATGTATCCGCTTTGTATATGTAGTTATGAGATTTTGCTATATATGTTGGTTACTGAAATGAGTTGAGAGTCTGGGAAATGCCCACAAATTAGCTCCTCAGAGATAACAAAAGAGTGACCAACATGCAGCCAGGTGTTAAGCGACCATCACCAGCTATTCTTGAGCAGGGGAGTTTAAACAAAGATAGTTGCTCGAGCATGTACACTATCTGGGCAGTCTAATCCCATGACACAGCATAGATTTTTCTAGCACCTGGAGGAAAGTATAAATGAGGGACAGTGATATCACCACGGAGCTGCTTTCTCCTCCCCCATTTCTACACCTGGAAGCAAGATTGTTTGGAAGACAAAGAGAAGTCTCCTTGAACTGGGTGGAAGGGATGGACCTAACTAGAAAGCTGTCTAGTTAATATGAACTGTGAACTGAAAACTGCCTGCAACATCCAGTAGGGTGAGAAAAACTGTTTGATTGAAATCTTGCTTAGCCTGATAAAGTTTAGGATTTAGAATGCATGTTTATTTTTTATTTCTTATGTAACCAAGTCTGACCTTTATGCCTACCACTGATAATCACTTACAATCTATCTTCTTTAGTTAATAAACTTATTTTGAGGTTTAATCTAAACTAGTGAGTTGGTTTAAAGCAGGGGTTGTCAAACTGGGGGTTGGGACCCCTGAGGGGGTCGTGAGGTTATTATGTGGGGGGTCGTGAGCTGTCAGCCTCCACCCCAAAGCCCGCTTTGCCTCCAGTATTTATAATGGTGTTAAATATATAAAAAGGTGTTTTCAATTTAAAAGGGGGTCGCACTAAAATGCTTGCTAAAGTGCTTGGGGGATCTGCCCAGATTACTGAAGTTGGGGCATGTCCAGTACCCTTGAAGGAGTGGCAAACTAATAAATGGGCTTACATTGATTAAGAAGGTCTAAGAGCTGTGTAAGATGCACATTTCTGGGGTGTAAGGCTAGGGTTGGGGGAATTTGCTGGTGTCTCCCTATATACAGTTCATGTGGCTTGGGAGAGCCTTCATGCAATTTAGCTGGGTGTGCCTCTGCATGCTGATGGCTAAGTGAACAGAGCCTGGAGGGGTTTGCAGTTCACTGGCATAGCAGTGTAAGAGACAGTCTGGGCAGGAGCGTTAAAGGGGACATGGGTTCTACAGTCTGGATTGCACTCCGGGGCATGTCACACCTTCCCCTGAGAAAGGTGCCATTGGTGCTGCCATTGACTTGAAAGGAGCACTCACCTGAAAAGAAAAGTTTGCTGCTGATGCTGTTGATTCTGCATGTTCGATGAAAGAACTCAGTGGAGGGAGAAAAGGGGGTTTGATTGTTACTGCTTCTTTCTTGTCTAAAACATTCAATGGAGGAAGAAAAACCTTTGTGGTCGAGGAGCAGGAGGAAAGGGAGGAAGAAGCTTCCTTGTCTGGAGCTCTTAATGGAGGGAGGGGAGCAGATGCCATAGATGATAATGGTGCTGGTGACTGCTTGGTTGACTCTCTCAAGGGTGGGAGATGACCATTGGTCATGGATGATGATGGTACTTGCCTGCTTGGAGGTCTGACTGGAGGGAGTGGAATTTTTGCCATTGCTGCCTCCGCTTGCTCACCTGGAGCACTCACCTAAGGGCAAATAGGAAAGTTTGCTCTGTTATTATTTTTTGCTCTGCTGTACTAAGCATTTTGCACCCTGCAGGTAACTTGTTGGCTTTCTTTATAGGTGGGAGAGAAATGAGCTATTTAAAGAACTTTGATCATTATTCCAAACAAAAGTGCCAATGTTTACAAAGATCAAAGAATGTTAAGGTTGCAAAGTAAAACGCTTGAAAGTCAGGTGATACCAAAATGAAGGTTGCACATGCAACTGTTATTCTGCCCCCTTGTGCTGCTGTGTTATGACACTTATCGACATGATCACCATGACAGGGTATCACTACCCCTCTCTGTTTTTTCCCTGACCAGGTTGCATTAACCATTGTTTCTTTTCTTCTCCATTCTTTTCTTTTCTACCAAAACGTTGGCCAACATACTCGTGCTCTGTCTTTCCCTTAGTGATTCTGTAGACAAGAAAACTGGCTGGACTCTCACTGAAAAGGAGTCCGTTCCCCTTTAGAAGCTGGCACTAAACACCTTGAACCAAGTATGCACTGGCATATAGCTATAAAAACAATATTAGTTGCCAACTCATGATGTGCTTGAGCAGCACAGAATTCGCCCCTTACTTCCTTGCTCTCCAGTACACGCAGAGAGATCCCTGTGGTAGGCAGAGAAGGATTTAGACTGATTTCTCCCTCCTCATAATGAGAAAAGCATATGCCTGAGACAGAGATGCCAAGGGTTGGCTGTCCTTAAGAGAGAGATTTACAGCCCCAAAGAGTGAGATTCAAGGCCAAAGAGTGAGACTTTCCAGGTGGTGCTTAAGACAGGGACTCTCCTCTTTGGTCCTTGGTGACATCCAATAGTCCAGGTTTTTAATCCAACCAGCACTTAATAGTTTGTTTTAAAATGTAGACTGCTTAATATTGCCTATAAAACACTTAAATGTCCTAGTTCATATTAGTCTAGAGCACATGAGAATTCTATATGCAATGCAAACCAGTGGATTTTAATAAAAACAATGATTCGCTGGTTGGAGCAAAAACCTGGATGGTTGGAGATCCCTGAGGACCAGAATTAATAACCCCTGGTTTAGGAACAAAGTCAGTGGACAGAACAAGAGATATATTAATAAATAAACTGTTTTTATATAAACCTAAACAAAAAAGAAAACATTATTTTGCATATCACCTTGTCTTAGTGATCATCCATTTGGAAAACACTTTACACTACAAGTATTATTTGGTTTATATATTATTGCTCATATTATATTTATAGGAAACTAAAATAATGAGATTCCAAAATAAATTAATTAAAATAAAACATGGCCAAACAATACATTAAATTAATGTAAAAATAAATATAACAATTAAATTTAATTTAATTAATTTGAAGCTAACAAACCTTAGACAAATTCCACATTCCTTTTAATATTTAATTTGGTTTTGCATTTTATTTATGTGCTTTGTTATATTGCATGTGGCCTCCTTTGCTATTTTATAATTTCTTTTGGTAGCTCAAACTTGAAACATGGCTCAGGATTTACTTGGATAATAGCTTTACTTGGATAATAGAGGACAGTATCCCGTCTAGTCCAAGATTTGGTCTGAATGGTGTCTTATTCTTTTCAACAAGACTGAACACATTCCCCATTCCCGCATTTGAGTGGGGTAAAATTAAAATGTCTAGCAACCCGGGACAGTAATGGGAAATTGAGAAGACCACAAGTGTTTTTGACATTTCTAAGATATGTCCATACAGTGTCCATCTTGTATTGCACAGTAGTGTTATCTGGGTCAGTCTGTAGTGCTGCCTCATCCCATACACAAGTGGTCTCCAACCTTTTAACGCAGAAGATCACTTTTTGAATTTAAAATCAACTCAGGATCTACCCTGCCCCTTCCCTGAGGACCCGCCCCGCTCACTCCATTCCCCCCTACCTCCGTCGCTCGCTCTCCTCCACCCTCACTCACTTTCACCGGGCTAGAGCAGGGAGTTGGGGTATGGGAGGGGGTACAGCCTCTGGGCTGGGACCGAGGGATTCAGAGTGTGGAAAGGGGCTCCGGGCTGAGCCTGGGGCAGGGGTGCAGGAGGGGTGCAGGCTCTGGGAAGTTTAGATGCAGGAAGGGACTCCGGGCTGGGGCAGGGGATTGGGGTGCAGGAGGGGGTAAGGGGTGTTGGCTCTGGGAGGGAGTTTGGGTGCA